TTTTTTTTTACATATGTTTTGAGTGATTTTTTTCCCCATATTCATGCTTTTCTAGGTCTACAGTGTGGAACATGGTGTGATATCTCTTTGGCTCAAGGGCAGGGCTGGCACATCCTATAGGCGACTTAGGCAGTCGGCCTAAGGCACCCCTTAGGAAGGGGCGCCGCCAGGAGCACCGGCCCCTCAAATGCTGCAGCCGTCTGAACACTCTATAGAGGGACTCTGGCGGCTGCAGCACTGTCCGGGCCGGCATGTCCATTAGTCCCCAGGGCGAAATATATGAGGGATCGGCAGGATGGAAGCGCTCCCTCCTACCAGTCCCTCAGTGTAGCGTGGCCGAACTTCGCTCCAGTCCGCGGAACAGGAGCATCCGTTTCCTGTACCTGGCCGGACTGACAGGGAGTACTCACTCAGTGAGCACTTCCTGTCAGTCCAGCCGGGTACAGGAAACAGAAGCTTGGCCATGCAACAATAGAGGTAGGGGAGGGAGAGAGTCCACTAAGGAAGGAGGGGTAGGAGAGACCACTAAGGGAGGGAGAGGGGGTGGAGGAGAGACCACTATGGGAGGGTGGGGGTGAGAAGAGACCACAAGGGGGGGGGGGTGGAGTAGAGACCACTAGGGGGAGGGGGGGATGAGAGACCACTAAGGTTGGGGAGTTAGGAGTGACCAGTAGGTGAGGGAGGGGTCGGGGGTGGAGACCCTACAAAGGGAGGGAGGGGGGGTGGAGGAGAGACCACTAGAAGAGGGGCATTGAGAAGAGGCCACTAAGGATGGGGAGAGGCCACTAAGGATGGGAGGAGAGGAGAGGCCTCTATGGGAGGGGGAAAGGAAAGACCACTAAGAGTGGGAGAGAGGAGAGACATGATGGGAGAGGAGAGACCACTGATGGAAAGGGGGTGAGGAGTGGAGAAACCACTAATGGAAAGGGGGGATGAGGAGAGATGACTGTTAGGAAGGGGAGGAGGAAGGACCACTAGGGGGAGGGGGCGGCAGAAGAGAGCAGTGTCTCTTAAGGGGGAGGGGGCAAAGGAGAGACCACTAAGGGAGGCAGGGGGGTAAAGGAGAGATCACTAATGGGGCGGGGGTGAAGAGAGACCACTAAGGGACAGAGGGGGAGAGGAGAGACCACTAAGGGGGAGGGGAAGGAGAGAGTACTAAGGGATGGGGGGAGCACCAAGGAAAGGGGGGAGTAGGACCCAAACACCCCAAAAGTACCTTCAAATACATAAAACCCCCTAAAAGTTACATCCCCTGATAGCCCTGATCTGGGTGACCTACATATCCAAAAATTACCCAGATCGGTTCAGGGGTTCAGGATTTTCCTGGAAGTCATAATTTGACCGACCGCACGCAAGGTCCTATGCCTAAAATAGTTCCATAGAATCGCAGTTAAGTGCATGACGAAAATAGTTTCAGGGCATTCGCGGCTAAGTCCCCCTAAAGTCTATTCACAGTTTTGGTCCATGCGAACGGCTGCCAGGGAGCTAACGTTAGGTTCTATGTGCATGAATGGAAAATGCTGAACCAGGGGGAATAAAAGATGGATCTTTACAGTCGCTGACCTGGCCCATAGTCGGTGGGCAGAAGGCCAGCTTCCACAGAGCCTGTTCTACACCAGACCAGTGGAGCCAGACTGCCACCAGAGCTCATCATCATCCTCATCTGGTTGTAAGTAGGCCATCTGGTATATTATCTGTGGCACTAATCTCTAATTTAGAATAGGAAAAAGTATCGGTGCAGCGTTTATAAAATTAGGATAGGTGTGGAATATCTAAATCTATACCTTGAATTTCAATATTTTCTTTTGTATTATAGGTCTTTCTGTGTGTACCTTTAAACAGAACAAAAAATACACAACATAGTGTAATCTGTATAATACAAAATAAAAGTTTTTGAACAGATGCCAAGTGGCCACTTACACTTTCCTGAGCTAATAAATTTAGCTCAGATTCTTGCGCTTGGGGGTCCGTTAAGGCAACCCTTTCCCTTCTTTGTTATCCAGTGGTCCAGTCCTAGATAAGTATAGAAGGGTGCATATAGTGTAATATAGTCTGAATTCTGAGTAATAAATAGGTATAGTGAAAATTTACTCACAAACCCAGAGCCTTAACTTAGGCTCACTTCACTTCGTATATGTGGTTAAGGACCACACTCCTTCTTTATAATAAGCAGGAAAAAAAGTGCTGTAAGTGCATATAAAAAATATATTTATTAGCTCTATAAAAATAGTTAAATAACAAGAAAATATCTATAAAATATAACACTTATCCGGCATAAGTCCAATATAAAAAGTCTCTGTAGTCACTTCTTCTCTCCAGTACGTGTTTCGCCAAAGGGCTTCATCAGCTGGCAAAGAATCTTCAAGTTGTTCCTCTGGAAAAATCCCAAAATTTAATTAACTCTTCTTACCCTCCTTCCCATATAAGAAAGACCTATAATACAAAAGAAAATATTGAAATTCAAGGTATAGATTTAGATATTCCACACCTATCCTAATTTTATAAGCGCTGCACCAATACTTTTTCCTATTCCACTTTTCCTTCAAAGATACTAAGGTGATTTAGCAGCTACTTAAAATTGGTGAATGTAATTTTTATTTTATAAAAAAAAGCACCTATCACTCAAATAGTGCTGATACTTTTCCATTTAATCTCTAATTTAACTCACATTAAAGGGACACTATAGTCCCCAGAACCACTGCAGCTTAATTTAGTGGCTCTGGTGTCTGTAGCCTGTTTCTGCAGGCTTTTTAATGTAAACACACTGTATGCAGCACTGGCATTAGTTCATATGGCAGATCATATGGGCGGGGCATTGTGATGTAACATGGGGGGGGATTTTACTTTTGCCTAGGGCGGCAAAAATCCTTGCACTGGCCCTGCTCAAGTGTCGAGTACGTGTATTTAAGTCGACAAATTCCAACAAGCAAGAAGGTTGAGTTAGGTTCACAGATAAAATTACAGTAATACGGTTCATTGTGAAACTGTTTATGAGCAGCTTGGCAAAAACCTGCGGCTTTTCTTGGCACTCGAAAACAGTCCGACCCCTGGCCACAATGATAATATGAACTTTACACCACCACATTAATTCTGGCCAATATGGATGGCACTGACTGGCCTAGATTGCATGTTACGTTTATTCATTCAAATAGTGTAACTATGTCAATATTTTTGTCCTTGTCCTTTATCAAGAGAAACAGATAAAACAAATTCCCCTTCCATAAACATCTGCTATTTATTTTAGGATGACTTTGTGGTCAATCAAATCACTAAATAAATAGACCATAATAGCGTCTTTAAATAAACATTAGTTTAAAGCGATGACTACACTGCACAGAGTAAAGACACTCATTGTGGAAATTTGATATGGGTTATTCACTAAAGTGAATTGAATTTCAAAGTGAAATTCAAATTTAACTGGAAAATTCTCTTAAGTTAGCTATACTTTCAGTTTGACTACTGTGGCCTTAAAAGGGCACTATAGGCACCCAGACCACTTATTGAAGTGGTCTGGGTGCAGTGTCCCTTTCCCCCTTAGTCCTGCAATGGTAATTAATGCAGTTCCATAGAAAATACAATAATTACATTGCTGCACTAAGACTGCAACTAGTGGCTGTCAATCAGACAGACACTAGAGGCACTTCCTGCTTGTTAGGCAACTTTTGTTTACCTAACTGACGGTGCATGTCCTCACGCTTTGCATGAGGACATCCAGTATCAGTAAAAACCCCATAGGAAAGCATTCAAGCAATGCTTTCCTATAGGGAGGGCCTAATGCGCTTGTGGCGCCTGCCGCACATGCGCATTATCTCCCCCGTCAGCTGATGTTGAAGAGCGCCGAACCAGCGCCATAGGAATCGGGTAAGTACAGTAAGGGTTCACTTACACTCCTACGGGGAGACAGAGGGAAGTATAGTGCTAGACTAAAGATTTGTATTTTTAGCACTATAATATCCCTTTACACTTTATATTCACTTTAGATTCTTACTTTAGTATATAGCCATGCAAATAAAGAACTTCTAGTACAATCTCAAATAACCCAAAATGTAGATAGTGCTTTAAGAAATAAAAAACAAAGAATATATTGTGATAAATTTAAGCAACAATCACCTAAAGTGACATATAGCATCAAAAAAACCAAAAAACAAGTGTTGCGCTCAAATTATACTTAACATCAAACATGTAGTAAATTCTGTAAAGACATAACATATACAATATACTGCAGATTATCCTTATCTTACAATAATATAATATAAGTACACTTCTGTGGGGGTTACACTCACATGTACCAGAGCCCTATCAACCCTGGCTCTGGCTGTGAAAGTCTTTGTTTTAGAGGGAATGACTCCCATAATGTTCAGGCAGCCAGAATTTGGATCCCAATAGTGGCAATATTATGGATAGTAGCTGTAGGGATGACAGAACCAAAAACACTCCAATGGCACAGTAAAATTTTACCCTTTATTTAGTAAAACAATTAAAACTGCTTGTATCCAGCATTGGTGAGCATAGACAACAGTGATCCCACATAAAAGATGGTCAAAGAAGAGTCTTTCTCATCCAAATCAAGGTTTGATAGGGCTCTGGTGCATGTGAGTGTAACCCCCACATAAGTGTGCTTATATTATATTATTTTATAATAAGGATAATCTGCACTATATTGCATTAGCCCTTTCTTTTCCGAATTTACTGCATATTTGATGTTAAGTATAATTTGAACCCCTTCTCTCTAATTGGCCTAAGGCCTCATGCTGTCTGGGGCCTCACGGCCACCTAAATTGCCTTAGGGCAGGTTGCTCTGCCGGGTCTGTGACAAAGGGCCCAACTCTGGGAGGCTTGCCCTTTATGCTGCTGGGTGCAGGGCCCCTCCATTCAGTCTACCCATATAGGAAGAGACCAGTGCCTTCGGTCTGCAGCTCTGCTAAGTGCAAAGTTGCAGACCATGTGATAGAGACATAGGCGTGCACAGCCTATTGCATAAGGGTGTGCACTCTAAAGCACAAACACACACGCCGCATGTATATGTATGTATGTATATATACATATATATATATATATATATATATATATATACACACACACACACACATACATACACACATGCACTGCTGTGTGTGTGTGTTGGTGGGTGCTGTTAGTGTGCTGTGTGTGTGTGAGGATTCCTTGTGTGTGTAAGGGTGCTGTGTGTGTGAGGGTTGTGTGTGTGTGTAAAGGTGCTGTGTGTGAGGGTGCTGGTAGTGTGCTGTGTGTGTGTGCTGGTAGTGTGCTGTGTGTGAGGGTGCTGTTGGTATGCTGTGTGTGAGAGAGAGGGTGCTGTGTGTGTGTGTGTGAGGGTGCTGTGTTTGTGTGTATGTAAGGGTGCTGTGTGGGTGTGAATTTGTTTGGAGGGATTGTGTGTGGGGGTAGGGGGACAGATTAGGAAATAGCCACCCTCCATTATTACCTTTTGCCTGGGAGGGGGGATCCTTGCTGCCATCCCTGATCCCTGGTGGTCCTAGTGTAAGTGAACTCTAGCCTGAAGGGCTAGAGTTCACTCTTGCTAGATCTGAGAGTTGCCATGTCCCCAGGTCCTCTCCTGCCTCCCCAATGCCTGTGGGCCTCACCGGCCCATGGAGGGCGCGGGGATTAGGGTGTGCCCAGGCACACCCTGTGCGCATGCCTATAGAGATCCGCGACATATTAGAACGTTGCCATAGGTTACCATGTCAACGCTCTGGGAGATCGCAAGATCTCGATCACATGGTTTGCAGCTCTGCACCCAGCAGAGCTGCTGACCGGAGTGCTGCCCACCCAACCACAAGAGATTAACAGCAGGGAATAAAGGTATTTTAATGTGAGGAGGCTTGTCACTAAAACAGCCTCCGCACACTGTCACACTGCCTCCCCCCACACTGTCACATTGCATTCCCATACACTGTCACTTCCCATACTGTCACACTGCATCCCCCTACACTGTCACATTGCATTCCCACACACTGTCACTTCCCATACTGTCACACTGTCTACCCCCCACACTGTCACACTGCATCCCCCCACACTTTCACACTGCCTCTCCCCACACTGCCACCCACCACACTGTCACGCTGCTTTCACCAACACTGTCACCCTGCCTTACCCCACGCTGTCACACAGCCTCCCCCATACGGTCTCCCCCTTCACTGTCACCCCCAGACTGTCACACTGTCAACATGCAGACACTGCCCCCCACACTGTTTCCCTCCCACACAGAGCCCCCACACACTGTCACACTTCCACACAGAGCCCCCTACACTGTCACCATGCACACACAGAGCCCCCTACACTGTCACCATGTTACCCTCCTCCACACACAGCCCCCACACACTGTTCCCCTCCCACACACAGCCCCACATACTGTCACGCTTCCACACACAGTCCCCACACTGTCATCCTCCCACAATGTCACCCCTCCACACACACTGTAACCCTACCATGCACTGCCCCCATGTGTCACCCTCTCACACACACACTGTCACCCTTCCACAAACTGCCCACCCACACTGTCATCCTACACATGCTATCATCCCCATATTCACCCAGCCACACTCACATTAACCCCTCCTAATACTGTTGCTCTAACCCCCTCCAACCAGGGCCGGATTAACATAGGGGCTGATGGAGCTGCAGCTCCAGGCCCAGGCCCATGGAATAGGCCCATTGATTTAAAAAAAAAATATATATATATATATATTTTTTTCACACACTACTTTTAGGGATTCCACATGGCTTTTATTTTATTGGCACAGCCAGTATTTGAGGCTGCCTGGCTGGTGCCAATATTGCAGTGATACTGGCAATATAAATGCTGGTATTTTTCTCAGTATAAATGGAAATTACTATGCAATACCAGCACTGGCCAGTAGAGGTCGCTGTATGTGGAGACAGGCAGGGATAGGAAATTCCAGCATATCCCTCCCTGCCTATCTATACTCACTGATCTGCAGGGGTGCAGCTACAGAGAGTCCAGACAGCAACTCCCACCCTGCAGAAACAGCCTACAGCTCAGGGAAGTACGGGATGGGGGAAAAGGCTGCAAGGAGACATGCACTGAGACACTAAGGGGCACTGGGAGACATTATGGCAGACACTGGGAGACATGGGGACACTGAGACTCTAAGGGACATTGGGAGACATTATGGCAGACACTGAGACACTAAGGGACACTGGGAGACATGGGGACACTGAGACACTAAGGGACATTGGGAGACATTATGGCAGACACTGAGACACTAAGGGACATTGGGAGATATTATGGCAGACACTGAGACACTAAGGGACATTGGGAGACATTATGGCAGACACTGAGACACTAAGGGACATTGGGAGACATTATGGCACAGACACATGGGGACACAGTGTCCCCATGTCTCCCAGCCAGTGTCCCTGGTGTCTCAGTGCCCCCTAGTCTCCCAGTGACCCCTAGTCTCCCAGTGCCCACAGTCTGCCAGTGCCCACAGTCTGCCAGTGTCTCACTATCCCCATGTCTCCTATTGCCTCAATGTCTCTCAGTGCCTCAAGTGTCACAATGTCCCCCAAGCTAGTGTTCCTAGTGTCTGTGGCCCTGGTGTCTCAGTGTCCCCATGTCTCCCAGTGCCCCCATGTCTCAATATCCCCATGTCCCCCAGTCAGTGTCTCTAGAATCTTTGTCCCTGGTGTCTGTGTCCTCATGTCTTCAAGTGTCCCCTATTTTCCCATTGTCCCCATGTGTCCCCTTAGTCTCCCAGTGTCACTGGTGTCTCCTTGTCCCTAGGTCTCCCCGTGTCCCCAGGTAACCCCGTCTTCCTAGTGTCCTAGTGACATGGGGACCCTGGGATACATGGGGACACAGGGAGACATGGGGCATTGAGACACTGATACATAGGATCACTGGGAGACCTGGGGACACGACACTAGGGGACACTGGGAGACATGGGGCACTGAAACACTGATACATAGGAACACTGAGACCTGGAGTAATCGACACATGGGGCACTGAGTCATGAGGGCACTGGGAGACATGGGGGCACTGGGAGGAATCCATCTATACAACTGATTTAAACTAAGTAGTTTTTTGGTGATTTTACAGCATTTTCTCTTATGTCACTCCTTGTGATTTACATCATGTGATGTCACCCATACATATTTAATTATGCAAATTAGCAGGCCGGTATGTTTTTCCAAGAAAGGTTGCAACCCTAACTACTTTTCACATACTCTTACTTTAGTATGGAAACTTAAGAGGGATGTATGGGAACAAAACTTGTGTGGACTGGCTGACAATGAATATAGTTAAAGGGACACTAGAGTCACCAGAACAACTACAGCTTATTGAATTTGTTCTGGTGAGTAGAATCATTACCTTCAGGTTTTTGCTGTAAACACTGTCTTTTCAGAGAAAATGCAGTGTTTACATTACAGCCTAGTGATAACTTCACTGGCCACTCCTTAGATGACTGTTAGAGATCCTCCCTGGGTCATGGCTGCCTAAAATGAATCCAAACATTCAGTATCTCCTCCCTCTGCATGCAGACACTGAACTTTCCTCATAGAGATTCATTAATTACATTAATCTATATAGGAGATGCTGATTGGCCAGGGCTGTGTTTGAATCATGCTGGCTCTGACCCTGATCTGCCTCTTTGTCAGTCTCAGCCAATCCTATGGGAAAGCACTGTGATTGGATCAGGCCACCACTTCTAATGATGTCAGCAGACTGCTTGTTTTTATGAGCCTAACAGCATGCAGAGTTACAGCTTCAGGCTTGAATATAGTAGGATTTTGCTATATTTATGGAGGCATCAGGGGCCCAGGGGGGCTAGATGGTGGTGTTAACACTATATGGTCATAAATTCATGTTTGTGTTCCTGACCCTATAGTGATCCTTTAAGGTAATGCTGACTTTGGTCTCTCTAACACTGTGGCATGTTCCCTTTCTTCTACACTCACAACATACAGCTTTTCTCTGTCCCAGACCATATACCAGGAGCTTCTGCCTGCTAGTAAGAAGGTAAGGAGACTAGTGGACCAGCGAGGGGACAGTCCTTAGAAAGCGTTGAGTGAGCGCATCATTAGATGCATTTATGCCAAGCTCAGGGTGCTGTCTGCATAGTATGCCCTTAGTTGGCTAGCTGCATGATTGGCAGGCAGTCTGACATGCATTCATGCCAGGGTGGCCTTCTAATTCTTTGAGCAGACATGTCCTTTTTTTGGGCATGTTCGCCCCTTTTGGCAGGTTACGTGATTTGTGTCAATGGCACACCCTTTTACCATGCCCATTGACTTCCTGCTTGACTGGACACTGCTGTTAGGGGTTATGGATTACTTGAAAGATTAAAACATAAATTAGAGAGAGATTAGCCTAGGGTATGTGTTTTCTTATAGCTGCTGTTTTCTTTCTCTCCAGCACCATCTCCATCTCCATCAGATACATGATGCTTGGGAGTGTTTTACTGTTTTTGGTCGATATGATTCTGTAATTAGGCCCCTCATAATTGTCAGCACCAGGCCCACTGGGCTCTTAATCTGGCCCTGCCCATAGGAAAACATTACTCAATGCCAGTGATAAGATGCTGCATGTCAATACGTAAGCACTGAGTAATGCTTTACCATGTGCGTTTAGAATGCTTGCGTTGCAATTGTGGTGCAGGCGCATTCGTCAATGATGTCGGCAGAAGGAGTGTTCACCGTAGCTGAGGGAGCACGGTGCTGGAGAAAGGTAAGTGGCTGAAGGGGTTTTAACCCCGAGTGCCCTGTAGGAGTGGGACCCAGAGGGTGGGGTGGACCTAATGACCCTATAGCATTTTTTGAAAATAAGCAGAAGAAGAAACATTTCTAGTACATTATATTAATTTTATTTTTTTTGTTTTTATTACGACAGACATTGTGTGTTGCTGGCATCATGTGAGTGGACGGGATGATCAATAAAGAGTCCAGTCCTCACATTTTTGGCAGGTAAAACAATTTTTAAAAATTAATTAAAAGACCACTATAGTGCCTGGAAAACTCTCGTTTTCCTGGCACTATAGTGCCTTGAGGGTGCCCCCACCCTCAAGGTCCCCCTCCCGCCGGGCTGGATGGCGAGGAAAGGGGTTAAACTTATCTTTTTTCCAGCGCCGGGCGTGGAGCTCTCCTCTCCGCCTCCGATCATCCTCTTTGTCTGAATGCGCATGCGCGGCAAGAGCTGCGCGCGCATTCAGCCTGTCTCATAGGAAAGCATTTCCAATGCTTTCATATGGACGCTTGCCTCTTCTCACTGTGATTTTCACAGTGAGAAGCACGCAAGCGCCTCTAGCGGCTGTCAATGAGACAGCCACTAGAGGATTTGGAGGCTGGATTTACCCATTTATAAACATAGCAGTTTCTCCGAAACTGCTATGTTGATATAAAAGAAAGGGTTACTCCTAGAGGGACCTGGCACACAGACCACTTCATTAAGCTGAAGTGGTATGGGTGCCTAGAGTGGTCCTTTAATAAAGTTAATTAGAGGATCACTGTAGTGTCTGTAAAACAAAGCTGTTTTCATGACACTATATAATCTTTGGTGGAACATCTCCGTCAGGGTCCACCTCCCGTGGTGCTGAAAGTGTTAAAACCACTTCAACAGCTTAGTTAAATCCAGCGCCGGGCTCCCTCGGCGCTCGTTATCTCTCCTACCCCACTGAAGTCAGCTCATGAGTGGTGCGTAATGCGCATGCCCTGCAAGTGTCGTGCGCGCGCATTGTAACAGTCCATAGGAAAGCATTTCTAAATGCTTTCCTATGGATGCTCTGCGCGATGGATGCAAAATTCACATCCATCGTCGCAGTTAAATGTCTAGCAGCTGTCAGGAAGACATGCACTAGAGGTTGTATTAACCCTGCTATGTAAACATAGCAGTTTCTCTGTAACTGCTATGTTTACATATGAATGGGTTAAAACCTGAGTGGCCTGGCACCCACAACACTTCATTGATCTGAATTGTTCTGGGCGACTATAGCGTCCCTTTAAAGGTGGGTGAGTAGCACATGGAATTGTGTTCCAGCACACACCACATGCAGGGCCAGATAAGTTGATGCTGGCCATACAAGATGGTGTAAAGGAGAAGCTACCAAAAGAGGATGAAAAATGGAGATGAAAGGTGGACCCAGAGCTTCCAAGCATACCACCTTCTCATGAGTAGCAAAGACTTTTTTTTTTTTTTTAAATCTTTTCAAAATATATAGAAGATAAGATTGTTTCATGAAAGGGAAAAGTTTTTATTGAACTCATGTTAGGGACAGATAGTTTGTAGATTGTTAGTAATTAGTGAGTGTGTGGGGGGAAGAATTGGAAGTGTAGAGATATCCTGATGACATGCAAAGGGCAATGAAAGGTTACATTTTTAAAACCAGACATTTCTCTTGCAAATCTACATGGATGGGGGAAGTAAAGTCTATTCATTGTAAATTTTTAATTAAATTGAAGATAAGATAGCGTCTAATAGTGAAATTTTTTCAATGTCATTATGCTAGAGCCAGACAGTTTGGAGACTGACTGATAGTATCAGGGTGGGAGAGATAACATGTTGAGATGCAAGGTGAACTTGCACAACCAGACATTTCCCTTGCAAATCAACATGGGTGAAGGAAAAATAACTGTAGAATTAACGGTGGTAAAGTGTGATATGCATGGAGACACAGATTTGGTGCTGGCCATGCAAGATGGTGGAGTGCTGCCACTCCTCTTTGAGGTAAATAACGGGGACGCAAGTGGACCCAGAGCGTCGAAGTATCCCCCTTGTACCTCAGAAGGATGGACAGTGTAATACACATACACTTATACATTTTTTACCAAAAAATATATAAATAAGAAATATATATATATACACACACACACACACACACAATTGCAATATATAATTCGGGTGCATGCAGTCCAGGGAAAATATTATACATAAATTGTACAGAGGACCAGCACTCAATGTTTTACTGAAGATTAAAATTTGTAAACTTTATTGAAGACTCATATTAAACAGGTTCCTGATGAACGTCACAGACCTGGACTGACACATCTATCCACCTTTTAATATGAGTCTTTTAAGCTTCACTATAACCTTGAGTGCTGGTCAGCTGTACAATTTATGTTTAAAATTTTCCATGGACTGCAAGCACCAGAATTATATATAGAGCCTGTGTGCAATCGTGTGTATGTATGTATATATATGTGTTTGTGTATGTATGTATGTATGTATATATATATATAAATATATATATATATATATATGTGTGTGTATATATATATATGTGTGTGTGTGTATATACACACAAAAAGCTTTTTAATGGTGATGTTATTTTTATTAGTTTTTATTACTCTGTCTTTGAGATACATATAAGAATGTTTAAGTGTGTTAGAGTGTGAGTGTATATATACACACAAACATCTCTCCATCTCTCTCTCTCTCTCATATATATATATATATATATATATATATATATATATGTAAAACAGATAAAATTTGTATCTTGTAATACCTTTTAGATAGATATCAATAAATCTAAAGATATCTATAAAGAGATATATGATATCTATGTATTAATAGATATATGATGTCTCTCTCTCTCTCTCTCTCTCTCTCTATATATATATATATACACACACACACACACAAACACAGATATCTATAAATGTATATAACATCTGTAATAAAATAATATCTAAGATTGGAAAGATTGGATTTGAAATTGAAAGTGACGTTATTTTTTTAGGATTTAGATATATATATATCTTTCTACATATATATTTTTTTCTTCCTGACAGCCTCTCTCTCTCTCTCTCTCACTATATATATATATATATATATATATATATATAGAGAGAGAGAGAGAGAGAGAGAGAGATAGCGGCTGTCAGGAATGAAAAAATTAAAAAAATAATAATATATAAATATATCCCAAAAAAATAACGTCACACTAGAAATTGCAAATATTAGATATTCTTTTATTCCAGAACCAACGTCGGTTCTGGAATAAAAGAATATCCAAAATTTGAAATTCATAGAGTGCCGGTATTTTGTTTGGGTATGTTGTTATAGCGACCAAAGCAACAGATATCACTTTTTCATTTTGGTTGGAGTGAAGGATTTTTTTTCTGTTTTATATATTTCTATATATATGCATATATACGTCCCAGGTCCCAGCACTCAATGCTCCCGGTCTTTTAATGCTCCGGTGCTGTCTCCAACCAAATTGTATACAATACCAGTAGAGAGCACTCAGGAGTCTTTCAAGGTAAATTTCATCTGTTGCTTTATTGAGCAATTACAAATTCACACAACATTCCAGTCGACGTTTCAGTCTGTAAAATACTTTTTTCAAGACAATTGTGTATGTGAGATGGATACCTTATATACAAAAAATGCAGTGATCCTATTTGGAGGTGAACAGGTGAAATGTAACAACGGATCAGAGTGATGTCATTAATGACATAAACATGTTTAAATTACGTAATAAATTAAAGTTAACCCTATGTGTAGCGGCACTGCAAGCACTCCAGTCGCCCGGCATTTCCTTGAGATGGGACATAGCCTGTCCTCACTTCGCTTTATGGGAATCGATCACTAGTGATGCACCGAACTGTTCGCTGGCGAATAGTTCCCGGCGAACATAGCGTGTTATATATATATATATGTGTGTGTATATATATATATGTGTGTGTGTGTATATACACACATACACGCCCACCGCGGGCGAACACATGCGCGGTTTGATCCGCCCCCTATTCGTCATCATTGAGCAAACTTTGACCCTGTGCCTCACGGTCAGCAGACACATTCCAGCAAATTAGCAGCAGACCCTCCCTTCCAGACCCTCCCACCTCCCTCCCAGCATCCATTTTAGATTAATTCTGAAGCTGCATGCTTAGTGAGAGGAGGGAAAGTGTAGCTGCTGCTCATTAGATAGGGAAATTGATAGCTAGGCTAGAGTATTCAGTGTCCACTACAGTGCTGAAGGACTCATCTGATCTCTGCTGTAAGGACAGCACCCCAAAAAGCCATTTTTAGGGCTAGAACATCAGTCTGCTTTTTTTTTTCTGTGTAATGTAATTACAGTTAGTTGCCTGCCAGCTTCTGTGTCAGGCTCACAGTGGATACTGTGCCCATTTGCCCAGTCAGTGCCACCACTCATATCTGGTGTCACAATAGCTTAAGCTTGACATTTAAAAAGAAATTTTTTTTTTCCCTGTAATAGATTGAATAGCAGTTACTTGTCTGCCAGCTTCTGTGTCAGGCTCACAGTGAATACTGTGCCCATTTGCCCAGTGCCACGACTCATATCTGGTGTCACAATAGCTTAAGCTTGACATTTAAAAATGTTTTTCACTGTAATAGATTGAATAGCAGTTAGTTGTCTGCAAGCGTCTGGGTGTCAGGCCTCCTTCAGCGTGTGCTCTGCAGACCTATGCCCGTGTACTTTGCCACTCATATCTGGTGTCTCTATAGCGTGCTTTTACAAAGAAAAAAAGTTTTTCAGTGTAAGCTAATGGCAGTCAGTGTCCTTAAAGCGGGTGTCAGGCCTCCTTCAGCATGTGCTCTGCAGACCTATGCCCGTGTACTTTGCCACTCATATCTGGTGTCTCTATAGCGTGCTTTTACAAAGAAAAAAAGTTTTTCAGTGTAAGCTAATAGCAGTCAGTGTCCTTAAAGCGGGTGTCAGGCCTCCTTCAGCGTGTGCTCTGCAGACCTCTGCCCGTGTACTTTACCACTCATATCTGGTGTCTCTATAGCGTGCTTTTACAAAGAAAAAAAGTTTTTCAGTGTAAGCTAATAGCAGTCAGTGTCCTTAAAGTGGGTGTCAGGCCTCCTTCAGCGTGTGCTCTGCAGACCTTTGCCCGTGTACTTTGCCACTCATATCTGGTGTCTCTATAGCGTGCTTTTACAAAGAAAAAAAAGTTTTTCAGTGTAAGCTAATAGCAGTCAGTGTCCTTAAAGCGGGTGTCAGGCCTCCTTCAGCGTGTGCTCTGCAGACCTCTGCCCGTGTACTTTGCCACTCATATCTGGTGTCACAATAGCGTGCATTTATAACCAAAAAACTTTTTTCACTGTTATAGATTGAATAGCAGTTAGTTGTCTCAAAACGGGTGTGTCAGGCTCACAGTGGATACTATGCCCAGTGCCACCACTCACTCACTGGTGTCACAATAGCTTGCATTTAAAACCAAAAAACGTTTTCACTGTTATAGATTGAATAGCAGTTAGTTGTCTGCCAGCGTCTGTGTCAGGCTCACAGTGGATACTGTGCCCAGTGCCACCACTCACTCACTGGTGTCACAATAGCTTGCATTTAAAACCAAAAAACTTTTTTCACTGTTATAGATTGAATAGCAGTTAGTTGTCTCAAAGCGGGTGTGTCAGGCTCACAGTGGATACTGTGCCCAGTGCCACCACTCACTCACTGGTGTCACAATAGCTTGCATTTAAAAACAAAAAACTTTTTTCACTGTTATAGACTGAATAGCAGTTAGTTGTCTCAAAGCGGGTGTGTCAGGCTCACAGTGGATACTGTGCCCAGTGCCACCACTCACTCACTGGTGTCACAATAGCGTGCATTTAAAAACCAAAAAACTTTTTTCACTGTTATAGATTGAATAGCAGTTAGTTGTCTCAAAGCGGGTGTGTCAGGCTCATAGTGGATACTGTGCTCAGTGCCACCACTCACTCACTGGTGTCACAATAGCTTGCATTTAAAAACAAAAAACATTTTTCACGGTTATAGATTGAATAGCAGTTAGTTGTCTCAAAGCGGGTGTGTCAGCCCTACAGCGTGTACTCTGCCAGTTCACAGTGCCACTCATATCTGGTGTCATAATAGCTTGCATTTAAAAACAAAAAACTTTTTCACTGTTATAGATTGAATAGCAGTTAGTTGTCTCAAAGCGGGTGTGTCAGGCTCACAGTGGATACTGTGCCCAGTGCCACCACTCACTCACTGGTGTCACAATAGCTTGCATTTAAAAGCAAAAAACTTTTTTCACTGTTATAGATTGAATAGCAGTTAGTTGTCTCAAAGCGGGTGTGTCAGCCCTACAGCGTGTACTCTGCCAGTTCACAGTGCCACTCTTATCTGGTGTCACAATAGCGTGCATTTAAAAACCAAAAAACTTTTTTCACTGTTATAGATTGAATAGCGGTTAGTTGTCTCAAAGCGGGTGTGTCAGGCTCACAGTGGATACTGTGCCCAGTGCCACCACTCACTCACTGGTGTCACAATAGCTTGGATTTAAAAACAAAAAACTTTTTTCACTGTTATAGATTGAATAGCAGTTAGTTGCCTCAAAGCGGATGTGTCAGGCTCACAGTGGATACTGTGCCCAGTGCCACCACTCACTCACTGGTGTCACAATAGCGTGCATTTAAAAACCCAAAAACTTTTTTCACTGTTATAGATTGAATAGCAGTTAGTTGTCTCAAAGCGGGTGTGTCAGGCTCACAGTGGATACTGTGCCCAGTGCCACCACTCACTCACTGGTGTCACAATAGCTTGCATTTAAAACCAAAAAACTTTTTTACTGTTATAGATTGAATAGCAGTTAGTTGTCTGCCAGCGTCTGTGTCAGGCTCACAGTGGATACTGTGCCCAGTGCCACCACTCACTCACTGGTGTCACAATAGCGTGCATTTAAAAACCCCAAAACTTTTTTCACTGTTATAGATTGAATAGCAGTTAGTTGTCTCAAAGCGGGTGTGTCAGTCCTACAGCGTGTACTCTGCCAGTTTACAGTGCCACTCATATCTGGTGTCATAATAGCTTGCATTTAAAAACAAATTTTTTTTTTCACTGTTATAGATTGAATAGCAGTTAGTTGTCTGCCAGCGGGTGTGTGAGGCTCACAGTGGATACTGTGCCCAGTGCCACCACTCACTCACTGGTACCCGGACAAAATTTCTTTTCACAAAAGGCAATCCCCAACCTGTACTCGATTGTGCAAAAGGAAATAATGGCATGTCTGGCACACAGTGTTGGGGCAAAGGTCCATCTGACCACTGATACCTGGTCTGCAAAGCATGGTCAGGGCAGGTATATCACCTACACTGCGCATTGGGCAAACCTGCTGACGGCTGCCAAGCATGGAACGCGTGGCTCTGCAGAGGAGTTGGTGACACCGCCATGACTTGCAGGCAGGCCTGCTGCCACCTCCTCTACTCTTCCTACTCCATCCTCTTCCATAACCTCCTCGGCTGAGTCCTCTTCTGCTGCTGCGTCTTGCTCCACATCAACGGATAGGGGACGTAACAGGGATTAAACTGATAAGAATAGTACTACTTAACACACCACTCCTATCTGGTGGCATATTAGATTGCACGCGCAGTGCCCCAAATTTGAAGTAGGAGGACCGACCAAGCATCTTTCCATCTCCCGGTTCCTAAAATCTATGCCATATACACGTCCCCTTATAGGGGACGTAACAGGGATTAAACTGATAAGAATAGTACTACTTAACACACCACTCCTATCTGGTGGCACATTAGATTGCACGCGCAGTGCCCCAAATTTGTTGTGATCTGTGAGTAAGGTAAACGGTTGTCCATACAAGTAAGGTTGCAGCTTTTTGAGGGCCCACACCACCGCCAGGCACTCCTTTTCAATGGCAGTGTATCTACTTCCCTGGGCAAAAGTTTCCGGCTTAGATAAGCCCCGGGTTGCTCGCTGCCATCTGCTCCGACTTGGCTCAGTACTGCTCCCAATCCAAACATAGAAGCGTCTGTATGGACGAGAAAGCGTTTAGTTGGATTAGGAGCAAAAAGTACAGGTGATTTAATGAGCGCCGTCTTGAGCTGTTGGAAGGCCTGTTCACACTCTGGGGCCCATACTACTATCTTGGGGAGGTTTTTACACGTTCCTATATGGCACTTACTGGGCTTTAGGGT